TATCTATATCTATCTATCTATCTATATATATATATATATATATATATATACACACACACACACACACACACACAAAACAGAAGCTAATATTTGATTTCCAACTTCCTTCTTTATAATCTGCCCAATTTGCAGCATTTATAAATATTTCGATCCCCTCAGAAAGTATAAAGTTATTGCTTCTCAGCCCCATGTCCCCAGCATCAAAATTAAGGCTAATTCACAATTTCACTGCACTATATGGATATGCCTTTGAAATCAGAGCCGTGTGTAATATACTACAGAAAACTGCAGGTACTACTGTAGACACAAATGTTTACATCTAAATAGTACTCTAAATGACAATGCAAAAATTTCTGGAGTGCACTTCTCATTCTTGTCATTGTTTCCCTCAAGCTCCCAAAATTGGCAGCTACTTTGGTTACTGGCACAGCTGGTGTAATTCAGAACCGTAGACTGAACAAGGACTGGAATATACAACAGAATGGCTGGCCTGTACGTATTAACAAAGTATGTATTGCAGTAACAGCCAATTTTTGTGTTGGTTACCACTTATACATGATCATTGCACATCCTTCTGTTGTTTTTTAATTTAATACTGAAATGTAGAAATCTACAGTACCAACAAGGGAAAAAAGTATTCTATGAAATAAAGAAAACTTAGATATATTATAATAAATAAAGCTAAACTGACAAAAAAAGAAACCAGTATAGGCAATTGGGGGGGGGGGGGGACCTATAGAATTAATTCACAATCAGATCAACACTTGATTGGCTTCATCTTCATTTATGGTCCTCAGATCCACTGACAAAAAGACACTTTCAGAGCCTTTGAATGCTTCTGGAGAAATATTTTCTAATGTTTTTTTTTATTTTTAAACCATAAGACAGACAGACAGACAGACAGACAGACATATTTTTCTTAATAACTGGACCTAATGATAGTCCAAAACTAGTCCTTCAAATTCTTCATTCTACAATTCAGTTACTGTAACTAATGCTAACTTTCATTTTAACTTTCTAATTCCTTATAACCGTGATGGCGAACCTATGGCATGCATGCCACAGGTGGCATCCGTGCCACAGGTGGCACCCAAAGCCATCTCTGCAGGCACAAGAGCCATCGCCCACATCAGTTCCACTGCGCATGTGCGTGCACCTCCTGCCAGTCAGCTGATTTTCAGGTCTGCTGGGAGAAGTGCACGCATGCGCTGGGGTGGGTGGGATACAGTGCTCCCCGCACCCCCTTTTTGATCCCAGGACCAAAACGGGGCTCTTGCGCGCATGCACAATGGCAGGGGAGCACAAGGAGGGTCATGTACACATGCATGGGGGGAGTACTGGGGGCTCATGTATGCATGCATGGGGGGGCGGGCCTGCGGGGGGGGCATTGGATTATGGTTGTCAGCACACACACACAGCACACACACACCCTTTTGGCACTCGAGGGAAAAAACGTTTGCCATCCCTGCCTTATAACATTGAATTTTTACTTCATGTTCAAGTATCAGAACTCTTATGGATCCTTAAGAGGCTGTTACAGCACCCAAGATGTACTATTATTTAATAAATGTTTCAGTTCCGTATATTGCTGTGCAATTATAGGGAAGTCATTTTCAACACATAACATCAAGATGTCTTTAAGACTGCTAGAAATCAATATATTTAAATTGCTGAATCTAATCACTCTAATAAAACATTATCCCTGTTATTTTCAAATGAAGATATTCCTCAACATTAATTTCTCATGTGATTTGGACTGAAAAAGTAACCTGTTGCCCATTAATAACTAAACATGCCTACACCTGAGAAGCTCAAAGATCTGTGTACACTATTTGACGACATGAAAAGAAAATAGAACTGCATTTTAGAATCAGCGCTGCTCAATATATAGGCTCCACTGTTCACCAAATTTTGAAATATGTATCAATTCAAATGAAATCACTTAACATTTTTAGCATTCAGAGATACCAATAGAGAGCCAAATTATATGCCTTAACCCTTTTGTTCTACAAGCAAGCAGAAATTAGATGAGCTTAGAAAGTTTAGAGCTGCAACATTCAGTTTGATTTTTTAAAGCCAAATGTTCCTCCTGAGGGTTAGAATAGGATGTCCAGAAATCCTTTTTCCCCAGATCAAGGATCAAAGACTAATTTTCCACATATTTCTAAATGAGAAGGTCTGGGAAGTAGACAGCAAACTAACTTTGCCATTTTACCTTCTTGTTTTTTATGATTACTGGGGGGGGGGGGGACATATTTTGCAATGCACACTATGGCAAAGAATGTCAGCAAACTGAATTAAAAAGGAAGAAATGATCCTGCTGTAATTTCAAACTGTATCTTTCAGGTATTGTCAAAAGCAATCCTAGCATACTTTAAAAGCTATCCATGGAGGTCTCTCTCCCATAAGTCTTATTTAGACAACCCATGTCCTGTTAGGTCATCATTGCACAGATATTCCTTACCTAAACACAGGAAGAGAATGTTCATTGTTGGGCAAAAAATCAGTGGGAGTGGAGCAAATTCCAACTTCATGCCAGCTCTTTACTGAATCCCCTTGAGAAAGATAGCAAGGAGCATCAGAAGTCTTCCTTCCTTCCTTCCTTCCTTCCTTCCTTCCTTCCTTCCTTCCTCCCTCCCTCCCTCCCTCCCACCCTCCGTTCAACACAATTGATTTTAAACTCCCTGCTAGTTTCCCCATTGACTGTGAAAAGTTCTTATGGAGCATTGGAAATGCCAATCACCTGACAGCAGCTGACCATTGTAATGTGGCTATGCTGAAGAAACCAGAAGTTTTCCAAATTTCAAGATGGGATTTTGGATGCATTCTGTAAGTTAGTTCACCTTAACTACCTTGGTTGAAAAACTGTTGCCTTATGAGGCAGTTTTGCCAAATTGAAGGTTACAAACAAATGTGAGTGATTGAGTGGTACATACAATAGATTCATTGTAGAAAACAAAAGTACTTTTCAAAGAATCTTTTTTTAAAAACCGACTGGCACAGTGTAGGCTAACATGGTCTGTTGTTCAGGATTAGTTGAAAAAGAAAAAGATGAATTCCACAAAGAATATATATATAGAGAGAGAGAAAGGCAGAAATTCAGATTTTTAAGCCTCCTGAAAGCACCTGCTTGGCTACCACATTGAAAAAAAATAGGTAAAACAGGTAAGTTTTTGATCTGATCTGATCGAGCTTTTCCTTTGTTTTATTGTCAATATAAACTAAATAAATGAGCTACATTTGGCTATAAATGCTATCTAAGGTTAATAGATAAGAAGACAAGGTTGACACTCAAACTGCAAATTCCAAGGTAAACTTGATGGATCATTCACTGTCTTTTTTGAATCAACAGCATTAGTAGATTATTCATCTACTTCCCATTCACAGTATATCAATTGTGCATTAGCTTATGTGATTTTATCATCAGGAAAAAAGATGATTACTTAGTGGTTGGGAAGCTCCAAAGAAAATAATGCACCAGACTATACAAAGCAGATCCGTGATATGCAAACCATATGTCAGTTTACTGTGTGATACAAAGGAATTTTTCCTGAGGTCTATCGGCAGTCATGTTGCACGAGCTAGCTTTTGTTGACCATTCTTCTGAAACCTTTGATAATACTTTATATTTCCTCTTTCCAAATTAAATCCTGGGACTACATCAGAGATTACACAGAATCCTTAGAAATCCCTTTATTTTGAGGAGCCATAGGTTCTGTTTATACAATCTACAAAAACGTTTATCCTTGACTTATCATGCTAAGTCAACTGGCACTTGAAAAGACTCTCCTGACTATTGAAATAAAATTTCCAAATCATTGCCATTATCATTTGAAGCCCTGATTAATGTTAAGAGTCCAACAGGAATTAGAATATAGGTATGTTTTAGCGGAAAACAATTAAAAGATAAACTGATGCCCTTGCACTGTTTCAATTTTGTTAACCCAGGATGAAAATCATATTCTTCTCTTGGGAACCTAAATGTCTCTCTCGCTTCAAAATAAGAAGCTGATCCATATACTTTTGTAATGGACCAGTTGTTTCCAATACTTACTTTCATATAACATTCCCAACTGATTTGCTCTTTTTCATCCTCTACAACTCCAGGCTTTAAAAGTGAGCCACAAAAAACTAATGCAGACAAAGTTATGAGGATTGCTTTCTTTTCATACTGAAATCAAGATTGAAATCAAGAGCATGTCCTTCTCAGACTTTTTTAACCTGACTCATTCTAACCAACTGAAAAAATATCCCTGCACACAGCTTTCCATAGATTCAAACCACAGGAAAATGTATCCCAGTCCACATGAACAAAGTGGCACCTCTTTTGGGTGTGTCCATGTAAGACAACTAAGTGACTATTATTTGCTGTACATTGTAATTATCTACTAAATGCATTTCATGCATAAAACGGAGCTCATGTAAAAATACCTGTCAGAAAAAATCCACATAACTTTTACTTCGACCAACATTAACTTTTTTAATAATACATTAACTTTGGGCCGGTTGCTATTACATTACATTTTTATTTCATGGGCCTTTCTAAAAAAAAAAAAAATTGCAGTGAGCCAATTGTTTATAATATGCAAGACAATTTTTAAGCTCCACACAGCTACTCCTGTTTTTATCAATGGTTCATTTCTTTTGCTTATTTTTCCAGAACTGCAAAACAGCTCAAAAATAAAACCAAGTTCGCCTTCATTTGAAGAAATCTTTACTATTAAAGTGTAACCAGTTTTTAGAAAATACACCTTACAGAGTTGTAAGTTATACAGGGTTGGTATAAGTTTTCTCTCTGGGTGAAGTATGAAGGATTGGATCTTTCAGATTCCACATTATCTTCCCCACTTTTCCCTTGTTGCGAGTTCTGATGGTTTGCAAATGTTGAAAAACATGGTTGAAGTTCTCCCTTCAAGGTGAGATGCCTGTCACTGAACTTAGCCTGATTAACCCCTCCTCTATAGCAGTCCTGGAATGCCAAAGGCCATCAGGTTAAAATTTACATCAGAGTCTTTTTATAAAAATAAAAAAGGGGGAAATAAATACATTTTCAGAACCACATTGTTGTTTTAGTGATTTTAATGGGATGTTACTATTGGTTTTATATTTGTCTGCCGAATTGTTTCTTTTTCATTTGTAACAGTTTTGCAAAAATGATTATTAATAAAATGTTTATGAACAACTTGTTCATAAAAATTGTGAAAAGTGGCACAAAAATATTGCAACCAATAAATAATGACAGCAGTATAAAGAATATAAAAGTAAAGCTTCAGAGTCAATCAGGTACCAACAGGATCATTTTTATACTGTCTTTTATGACTTTTATAGGGCTGTATGACATTCCTATCTATCAATTGTAAGCTGTTTGACAAACTAAAAGACCATGTTAAAGTCTTAGAAGGGCCCCAAATCAGTGTTTTCAATGCATCTCAATATACATACAGCAAGCAGTCCTTGGTATGGTGGTTCATACATTGTACAGACTTACTATATTACTAAGAACCATCATGGATGCCCAAGGTAAAACCTTCAGTTCTTCCTACTGAAGGTGATACATGAAATGAAAATCCAAATACCACTTTCTAATAAATGAACCTACTACACCTTACCAATTTGGATTTTCAGAGCTTTCTCTGAAGACTGATTCTTCATTTAGGGTGGCATACTCTGTCCACGTAAGACAGTGAGTCTTCATAGACATAATTCTATCTTGCATATTAAGCCACGACTCCTCTTCTAAGTAGACTTCTGATACTTTCAGGATACTAATCTGTCAAATGTAACATTTACAATGGTCAATAAATGGAGTGAGGAAAAAAAAGATCAGATTACATACATTAGTAAATAATTTCATTATTTTAAAATCATTAACAGTCATATTAAAGCTAATATCTATCAATAACATGTAACCACTGACCCAACATTGACATTTGATAAACATGCAAGCTTTTATTAGTTATTTCCACTGCTTAGTAACTTGTTAATTGTTGCCAATTGCAACATTTTAAAGCAAAGCATCAACTTAATGTGTGCCATTTTATTTCTCTTTTAAGTCCACTTTAATGTAACAGATCCAAAAAAAAGCATCAACTGTTTGCACACAAGACATAATTACTCAAAACATTTGGGTTCATTTTTCATTCTCTTTGGTACCTGTCAATTTTATGCTTTCCCATCTAGATGAAGCATGGAAAGAGTAAAAAGAAATGTGGTAAAATTGAATTATTATATTTTCAATATGTAAGATTAAAAAAGCACTTTACAAAATGTTATGGTACACAGCAGAACATACAGTATATCATAAATATTGTAATTTAATTTGAAAGTTGAAGATATTAGAAGCTTAAAACAAGAATCACCTTTCTATTTGGATTCTAGAACTAAATTAACTATATTGTAAAAAATGTTACTTTGATTGTTTTACAAATCCTCATTTTGAGATAAGGACTTTGAACATTAGCTATCTCCTCTCTAAGACACAAAGTCGAATTTTAAATGCTATCATCTGTAACTCAGAAAAGTTGAACTAAAGTATAGTTTGCTTCTATCACCTTTATAATGAATTTTAATGGCTTGAACAGAGTTACCTTTCTTAAAATGTGTGGAATTACATTTTGGCATGTTGCAATCCTTCTCCGATATATGACTCCTGTAGACAAGTCTGATAATAAAAGAATACATTTTCAGTGTAACAAACAAAATCAAACAATATCAGCAGGAAAGCTTGAAAGCCATAAAGGGATTTAGATAATTTTTTGCTTTAGCACTCAAAGAATATTGCAGTATGTTAATCTAGGAAGGATTTTATTGCAACAACCCTACCTAGTAATCTTGGAAAACTGATTTAAATCTACTGTGATGGTGATAACAAAGCATAAAATACAATGCTAAGTTCAAACTTTTTAGAACTTCCTGGAACTGCCTTGAAATCACAGTAAATTTTGGCAAATAGCAGTAAGGGAGTTAATTTCGGAGGCACTTGTGTGCTAGTTACAAGCTTCAAGTATCTTCCTGGGTCAGCACTTCAGAGCAAAAACAGCTCATTCTTCTCATTCTGCATTCTAAAGAACATCCTAAGAGCATAAACTACCTCTCTGCCATCTAGCAATGCCAATGTTTGAAGTCTAAAGCCATTTTCTTGGACAACAAACATTTATTTTTGCTCTGAACTGAATCAGTGACAAGAATAAAGCTCCTTTCTGAAAGTTAAAGAACAGCCCCTTTCTCAAATTATAGGTATTGACCTACAATGCATACGTGACTGGCTTCTAAAATCAATTCTCATTTTAATATTTAATGATTTAAGATTAAGTCCATAAGCTTCAGGAAGATGTTAATTGATAACCTGGGTGGGCAAATAGCCTGGAGCAAGGCCATTACTTGCTCTTGAAAAAGGCAACTCTCTCTGAAACCTTATCTAAATATTTCTTCCCTGGAAACAGCATTCTGCAGTACATTTTAAACAGACGTGGCACTGTATATGGATATCCCACTTGACATATTTACAGGGAGTCATATGCTGATTATTTCCCAAAGAAAAAATTTAATTGAAATTGCATGCCATGCCGAATACAAATTTTGAATATTTTGAAAAATAACTTGGTATCCCTTCCAACATATTATTTCCTTAAAAAACAAAACATGTAAGGCAACAGTTGGAAACTGGGTTGGTGGAATGATGGATTTTGGTTCTAATTCTTCCCAGAAGTAGTATTTATTTACTCATTTCCTGGCTAGTATTTGTATTATATATGCAGGTCCTTTTAGTGTATTTTGTACTAGTAGCTATATTGTAATGAGATTCTTTTTTCCTGATGATAGGACATTTCTCCTCTGTGATCCCAATCTGACAGCCACAATGGATAAGAAGGCAGTTGGGGGGGGGGGAGAATTGGGACAGTCATTTAGGGACAAAGAACAATAGTTGAATAAATATGTGATTTAAAAAAAAAAAACTAAGAGCTTTAAAAAAAAGATACTTGCAGAGTTTGAATGTTAGAAAAAGAAGACATAATTGATATAATCCACAGATGTTTATTATTGCTAAATGAATCATAGAACTAAGGAATGAATTAGCCCTTTTGACAGCAACCACATTGTCGTGAGATTCAGCTTTTACCTTAGAACAGCAATGGTGAACCTTTTTGGCTCGCGTGCCGTAAGTGTGGGGAGCGCAGGAGAGGGTCATGTGCAGGTGTGCCGCACCCATAATGCAAAGCGCAACCCCCCCAGTGCGCATGAGTGCACTACAGGCACTCCCCATTTTTTGCATGTTTTTTTCACCCACCCCAGGCTCCAGAGGCTTTATAAGAGCCTGGGGAAGGCGAAAACAGCCTCCCCTGCCCCCCATGAAGCCCTCTGGAGGCTTCAAGCCCTCCGGAGGCTTTCAGTCAAAATGACACTCTGAGCAAACCCGAAGTGACTTCCGATTTGCTCGGAGGGTCGTTTTGAGAGCTCCGAAGGCTTCAGGGTCCTTCAGGAGGCTTCCCTGAAGCCTCCGGAGCAGTCAAAACGACCCTTCAAGCAAACCGGAAGTCCGTTCCTGAACTTCCGGTTTGCCCGTAGGACTGATTTTTTGCGCTCTGGAAGCTTCAGGGAAGCTCATGAAGTCTCCGGAGGGCCTTTATATAGCCTCCTATAAAGCCTCTGGAGCCTGGGGAGGGTGAAAAATGGCTTTAAAAAGGGTGAACTCAGCTGGCCAGCGCGTGCATGCA